AGAGCAGTGTACTACACCACAGAGCAGTATACTACACCACAGATCAGTGTACTACACTACAGAGCAGTATACTACACCACAGAGAGGTATACTACTCCACCGAAGGGGACAGCTCGCTATTCCGATGGTACATAGGTCCGATGGACTTAAATGCAACCTCAGTATATATTTTTTCCAAAAAAATCTTCGGACTTATTTAGATCTTAAGTTGTTTTTATGTGGTTTCTTTTCATGCGTTTGTGGAATTAATAAAATATTATCGCCCTAATAATGTATTAACTAGGTATGACATAGTTTTGTAAAGATGAACCACGTAACCGACTCTAGTATGAGAGCAGCTGCAGTTCAAGTTGGGAAAGTTCCACAAAAAAACACGCCCACTTTTGTCCAAACTTCAAAACAAAGTTTACTGAGTACTGAATGTTACACCAGTGTAGTATACTAAACCACAGAACGACATACTACACAAAGACCTATTACATCACAGAGCAGTATACTACACAAAAAACGACATATTACACCACAGAGTAACATAATACTCATCGGAATGACATATTACACCACAGAGCAACACAATACACATCAGAAAGACTTATTACACCACAGAGCAACATAATACACATCAGAACAACATATTACACCACAGAACAACATATTACACATCAGAACGACATATTACACCACAGAATAACATATTACACCACAGAACGACATATTACACCACAGAATAACATATCACACATCAGAACAACATATTACACCACAGAACGACATATTACACATCAGAACAACATAATACACATCAGAATGACATATTACACATCAGAACGAAATATTACCACCACAGAACATAATACACATCAGAACGACATATTACACCACAGAACAACATATTACACCATAGAACGAAATATTACACCACAGAACGACATATTACACATCAGAACAACGCAATACACATCAGAACGACATATTACACCACAGAGCAATATAATACACATCAGAACGACACATTACACCACAGAGCAATATACTTCAGCCCTAAAATAAACAGGATTACCCAAAACCACTCATGAATCGAGTTTCAATTTAAAACCTACAAATTGCCTTTTTCAAATTTACCTGAAACGTTCCATTTTGCCGTGTGAGGGCGCTATACTCATGCATCAAACTGTTCATGTGCGTGGGGCCAAAAATCAATAATTGATGTATGTGAATTAACCGAATCACAAACAAATATTATAAAGGTAAAGTCAAGGCTAACAACGAAATGCTCCAAGATGAAAGAGCTCAACAAATGTTAAAAATGCAATTTACCGATTTTTTTTATATCACTTCATTCTCTAGATATTCAACTTTTTATCAGTTTACGTAATCCATGATCTTGATTCTTCAGAAATGAATTATGGGTAAAGTGTGACATTAAATTTAGTGGTACTACAGATATCAGTAGAAACATCTATAAATTAGCTAATTTAGGCCTTAAACGGGTAATTCATATCACATAGCATCTATTTACCAAGATTCATTTATATCTGAGTGGTTCATGGGATATTGCGAGTAATATACAAATTATAAAAATTTTGTTATGCAAATTATCTAATTAAAAAACTAATCAATGCTTGTGCATTGTTCCAAGGGATCTACGTACTCCAAGTTTCATTGTAACAATGGTAGTTGCAAGGACTCTGTATGTACGCATTTCACACAGCAGTCAAAATAATTTATGTAATTAGTATGCAAATAAAGAATGCATCTGTTAAACTGATCAGGATTGTTGTAATGCATGTTGTGATTGGTTAAAACTCAATCACATGACATTCAACTGATATAGAAACAACACAATGTTTGTATTTATGCAAACTTTTATAAACAAACTCAAGATATGATATAATCTTGATTTCTGTAAGCACCTTCACGTTGTCAGTCATTGATAAAATATCCATCAATTCACAACACTTAAACAACCCTGG